ATTATATGGTGTAGGAAGTTTTAGATTTACCTCGGTGTGTATATGACTGCGATCTTAGTTGTACTATGAACTATTTATCTTGCAAGTGTCGGTTGATATTTGACCGTGGTAGTTTTTCCCCTACATGTTTCATGTGTTGTGAGATGTGTGTCGTAGATTATCATGTGAAAGTATTGAACAAAATATTAATATTTATTATATTTGTATAAAATACTTGGTAAAAAAATATATAACATATTTTGTATTATAACTTTAATATTTAATTACAAGATAGTGTAAAAAGAAGACAATTGATAATATAGTGAATATAATCAATTAATGAATTTGAAGGTAAGAAATTTTTGAATTGTAAAAAATAAAGATAATATAACTAATGAAATTATATCTCGTTTTAATTTTTTTTTTTTAATAATGAATACTTTTTTTTTTTAATAAGGAAAATTATTTAAAAAAAAAATACTAAAATCAAAATAATATGAATCATTCATTTTAAAAAACAATTACACAAACATTTTTTTTTGTTCCCGTCAAGGGCATAACTTTATTGGCTCTTATTAGATTTGTATTTGTAGATAAAAAATTATAATTACAATTATTATTTTTTTTTAATTATATTTAAATTAAATATGTCAAAATTAAAATAAAATTTTAATTACAATTTTTTAATTCTAATAATATCGTATCAAAATTATATACTACATTTATATTGCATAAATTTTTGTTCAAATTTTAAAAATTTAACAACAAAATTAAACAAGAAAAACTTTTTTTAAAAAAAAAGATGGCGTTGTAACATCCAGCTTAAAAAAGAAAGTTTTATTTCAGAGTGACAGCCAGCTGGTGGCCACTTTGAAGCGCCCTACATTGGCATGCAGTGCTCCCTTCCCCCCTTGTTTTTTTTTTTTTTTTTTTTTTCTCCTGCAAAAATTACTGTCTTTGCAGAAGAAAAAAAATCAATGCTCACATTTGTTAAAAATCATACAACCAGATTTTAGCTATGCAAAAATCAATATAAAAATCCCTACCGGGGATGCTCTAAGAACTAAGAAATCAGAATAATATTTTCCTTGTCTCATTTTATCTATTACATTTATTATTTGTTAGTCAAATTAACTTTTTTTTTTTACTTATTTTCTTGGAATAAGGGTCAAATAGGCCATCGAACTGCACATGATAATTCAATTAGGCCACCGAACAAAAAAAAAATCAACAATTAGGTCCCTAAACTAACCAATTTCAAACAATTCTTCCAATTTGAAGGTTTCTAACAAGTCAACAGGTTATCCTTCCAAATTAATTATTTTTTAAAAAATAAATTTTAAAAATTAATTATTAATTATTTAATTTAAAAAAAAAAGGACTCCGGCTGTGGAGACGAAGAAATCGGCCGGAGAAGGTCTTCTCCGGCCGGGTCCTGATTTTTTTTTTTAATTTAAAAATAATTAATTTTTAAAATTTATTCTTTAAAAAAATAATTAATTTGGGAGGATGATCTGTTGGAAACCTTCAAATTGAAATAATTGTTTAAAATTGGTTTGTTTAGGGACCTAATTGTTGATTTTTTAGGTTCATGGCCTAATTGTATTATCCTGTGCAGTTCGATGACCTATTTGACTCTTATTCCTATTTTCTTTAATGTTTTAAACTTATTTTAAAATTTAATTTTTTATGTTTAATATTTAATGTAGTTTCTAAATATATAAATTTTATACACTAATAATAAATTCAATATTATGAAAATTGAATTAAAAATAATTTTAGACAAGTCTCGTTAATCGAACTAGACACATAACATAGGACGCAAGTAGTATAATTTAATCATATATTAAACTTTGAAGGTATAATAATAATAATAATAATAATAATAATAATAATAATAATAATAATAATAATAATAATATTATTATTATTATTATTATTATTATTATTATTATTATTATTATTATTCTTGTTGTTGTTGTTGTTGTTATTTTCAAAAAAACAAATTAAAATAATAATAATAATAATAATAATAATAATATTATTATTATTATTATTAAGAAAATAAATATTATTTTAAAAAAATTACATGAAGAATAGAAACTTGTAATGGGTTCATGAGGCTCATATTCAAAAATGTTCATTGATTAGGTTTATTTAAGTCAAGGGGCCTTAAATTAATCTAATTTTCTCATGAGGCCCATTTGAAACTTATATTATTTTAGGCCCATTAACTACTCCTACTTAGGTTTATTTAAGTCAAGGGGCCTTAAATTAATCTAATTTTCTCATGAGGCCCATTTGAAACTTATATTATTTTAGGCCCATTAACTACTCCTAGCAATTGTTATGCCATGGACGCAGGTCCACCTTACAAGGTGGACTCAGGTCCTAAACGACACCGTCTAAATTTTTTTTTTTTTTTTTTTTAAATTTACTTACTTCCTTGCCGTTAATTTGTCTTTTGTCTTTAGAATTCGTTCATCTATATTTACAATTTTTGAATTGTATATTGACTGATGGTTTTTGGGTTTTCGGGCCCAAGGAGGTCCAACACAACCTTTAGACGGAGGATACACCTTTCAATAAAAAGCTTGCTAAAATAATATGAGCTCGATGATTTTGACGTGGAAACCGAAAGGAAAACCACGGGCCTTTTTGGGCGGTGCCAAGCCTAACTCCACTATGTATTTTGTAGGTGTCTTTGTACATACTTGTAGGGCTATTCTCTACACAAAGTGTTGTGTTTCTAATAATATAGCAATAATAATATAAAGAAGAGTGATGGAATGGTGTGGAAGAGTCCTTCCATGTGTATGGATGAGTGGTGGAGCCTTCTTGGTATGTTGTGGAATGAGGCCTTCTTGGGAGAGTAGTTGTGGGAGAGTGATAGTAGTCTTCAAGTGTGTAGGAAGAGTGCTTGGGAGAGTCCTCCCCTGTGTGTATGAGTGAGTGAATGGATGATCCCTTTCTTCTTGTCTTCCCCTCCTTTTTATAGCTAACCCATCACAAAAGTGTCCGTTGGACATTTAGTAGGGTAGTGATGGGTGATAATTAGGGGGTTATGGAAAATAATAATAATGGGGTAATAAGATGGGGTAATAAGTGGGAGGTTAGGAATGGTGGGGTAGTAAATAGGACTTTAAGGGTAGATAATTAGGAATTTAATAGGGGCTAACGGCTAGTTTTAGGCCGACCCTCTACCCGTGCCGATCCCACACTCGCACCGACTCCCGGGTCGAGCCGACTCCTCGGCTTGGCCCGTATCTCTTTTGGGCTTACTTCATTTTCCTCTTGGGCTTTGCTTCTTCTTTTTGGGCTTGATCTCTTTTCTTCTTGGGCCCCGAGCCCACGGGGTTCACACCCCATCATTGACAATTTTAGAACTTTATATTCACAATTTTTTATCTCACTAAACAAAATTACATAACTCAATATTCACAATTACAGAACTCTATATTCACAATTTTTGAATTCTACATTCACAATTTCATAACTCTATATTCAACAGTATAGCACAATTTTGAATCTATATTCACAACTTTTGAACTCTATATTCACAATTACAAAACTCTATAATCACAATTTCATAACTCTATATTCACAATTTCATAACTCTATATTTACAATTAAAGAACTCTATATTCACAATTACGGAACTCTATATTCAACAGTATATCACAATTTTGAATCTATATTCACAATTACAAAACTCTATAATCACAATTTCATAACTCTATATTCAACAGTATATCACAATTTTGAATATATATTCACAATTACAAAACTCTATAATCACAATTTCATAACTCTATATTCAACAGTATATCACAATTTTGAATATATATATTCACAATTACAAAACTCTATAATCACAATTTCATAACTCTATATTCACAATTAAAGAACTCTATATTTACAATTACGGAACTCTATATTCAACAGTATATCACAATTTTGGATCTATATTCACAAATTTTGAACTCTATATTCACAATTACAAAATTCTATAATCACAATTTCATAACTCTATATTCACAATTACGGAACTCTATATTCAACAGTATAACACAATTTTGAATCTATATTCACCATTTTTGAACTCTATATTCACAAAAAGATATCATTAGCTGAGAAAACGGTATCACTAACAACACCGTTATTCCAGACACACGTTTTGGACCCGGATTCACATCCAGCATAATTTGCCCTACTTCTAGTTCACACCGGTAACGAGAAAAACTACCCAAGATATTATCGTTATCAAGGTGCCAAATTGACTAGAACAATTTGAGCTTTTAATGGCAATCCTCAGCCCTCATTGTCAGTTGCTCATCACAAAATGTCTCAGTCATTCCTCAAAATATCGATCGACTTTCAGAATCCTATAAGAACATATTAACTTAACATTATAATTCTAACAAACAAAAAATTACAAGAGAGTAAAACAATTTAAAATGTTCATTAATAATCGACTCAAAATAAATTACTCCGACTCAATAACCTAGCGAACTTAGGTTGTCCTTTTTCCTCACTATCTTTTATTTTTAGTTGGCAGGTGACATCCAATTTTTCTTACAAGTTTGATTAAACTATAAAAGGGACCATTCAACGTCGAGAAACCTAGGAAATCTTTAAAAACTTGTGCTTAATAAAGGGGGTGGGGTTGGGAGGGGGGGGGGGGCGGGTGAAATCCGTTAAAATAGTCAATCATCAAAGTACACATATCACCAATTCCGTAGGTTTCAAATATTTAAAGATCGAATATCTAACTGGGCAGGTTTGTTCTGTCTTCTTCACAACTGCTTCTATTCTCTCATCATTTTAATTAATTTTTGGTTGAAGAAGTCATGTATCATTGAGTACAATGATGTCATTGGGATTCCATAATTGTAGAGTTGCAGTACTGCTATCATGACAAATAATATATTATTGTTAATTTATGTAAAATTAAAGTTATTCTGCAAATACTAGCTAGATATATGAAAATCAAGCAACTTACCCCAGGTTTAATAGCCATTTGATGCTTAATTAGGATAGTAAAGTTACAAATGGTGATACACCATGCATCTGCATGGATGACTTGCATAGGATGCTAAGCTAGCTACATTATATTGAGAGGTGATTACATTTATAACTTGATATCTTCAAGAACATCTATCATCACAGAGCCACCTACATACATACATATTACTCAGTGAGGATCATCTTGTGGAAGAAAGATTTGGTGAGCCATGATTTCCAGCTTCTTGTCCCCTTCAAACCAGTCACCACCTGTGGCCTTCCTTCTGTCATCAATGGCTGCCTGTTCTTCTTGCACAGCATGAAGTTCCTTTCCCCACAATTTCCTATTGAACTTGATGCACTCAAAGCTGGACAAAAAGATATCATAATAGTAAGCTAAGTCACCATCCATGTTTGATTTTGATTTTTTATCTTTTTTTTTTTGTGAAAAAAAAAAAATTCGCAGCAACTATTTGAGAATGTGCAGTACGGTGTAAACTCAGCCTTAAAACGGTACCTAAACCATCTTAAATTGTCCATTAACCAGTTCAAATTAAACCAAGAAGGTCAATATGACATTTGAACTGTACATTTAGACAGCTTAAGCCTAAGAAAGTAAATCAACCTAAATTGCCCATAATAACTGATCCACTCAAATCAATAAAGAATTGAAAGTCGAACTTGTAATATACTAATTACAAGTTAACAATCAACCAACTTAATTGGAGTTGCTCACCTTCGAAACCTGAAGTGACAGGGTAGAGGAAGAAATGATGGGGGTCAGATCCAAGAAGCGGAAGGCGCCCCTGGCGAGCGTATTGCTTGAGAGCCATGTCCACCACCCCGACAACCTTATCATCCTCGTTCACAACAAACCTTATCGGCCCCGCACTTCCAAACACGTTGATACTGATCAACAACCTCTTCTTATTCCCACTCTTCTGCCTCTGCATCATCGTCATCTTCTCAGAAAGGCTTTTCTTCATCTTCACCTCCATATATATTCTGGGTTCTACCTACAAATTAAATGATGATCGAAGAAATGAAGGAGAAGAGAATAGCAGCAGAGAGAGAAGGAGCGAGCTGAGAGATCGAGCTTCAATTCAATTCCCAGAACTGGCCTGGCAGGCATCAAATGCGTGCTTGAAGAGTTATTTGCTACCACTCAATCGGTGTGTCAATTAATTTTCTGCGCAAATTAACAGCCCGCCCAGAAGAAACGTGGATGCATGGGAGAGAGACAAAAGGCAAAAGTGGGCAAATTCTTGGCATGAACCAATTAATGAACTTTAATTTAGATTGTTGTGATTATATTACTCAACAAACAAGCTCTTATATAATACCAAGGATATAGTTTATTTAATATATATATAAAGCCCCTCGTATTTTACCCATATTTGATATATACACCCACAATTATACCAAACTGTCAACTATAAACCACCTACACTTCGGGTGAAATTTTTTCTTAACAAATTAATATCTCGAATTTAAGTGATATGAATATATAGATTGATAGGATTTAGAAAAGTTTTGTGTATAGACTCACATATAGTAATTTAAATCCGAATTAATCCTCGGCACCGAAGCAGTAATAGATAAGGATTGTATATGGCCTGGATGTATCCACAACGTTTTATATGTGTTTGTGCATGATGCGTCAAGGAAAGAAGGTATTAGCCAACTAGGGAAGGCTGACTTTAATGTCTGGCCTCGTATGTACTGATCATTATGTATTTATTGCTCACTTCACATAATAAATGGTATATATATAATCGAGATGAAATGAGAATTAATAATTTTGTGAGAAGGCATGGACTAATCTTATCTGTTCATTGATAATAATCAAACGTTATGTGTTTGTGTAATTAATTAGGATGAAGCATTTGAAAATACTTGATAGTACATTCACAATAACTGATAGTGTACTCAAGATTTATAATAGATAATAGGGAATATACAAGTACGATCAACCGTATCTGGTGGAGTTTGTCTAAACCGACCATATTGACCCATATTGCCCTCACCTCCCGACCACGTTTCCCGATTCAGACGAGTGCCCTATAGACTCGACTTTAACGCCCCGTCTCATTGCTCATTCGGTCATTCCCAACCGGACGTGACAAGGAAGTTCACTAATGTGACTGGTCGAGTGGTCGTTAAGTCTTTTGCCCTACAATTAACTTAAATATACTCTCCAGACAGAACAAATAGTCCTATCATGTCCCATAACCTTTTCAATACCATCTGGACACCGGGCGTAATAATTATGATCGGTAAACCCATGATGCTCAACACGTGTAAGACATGTCGAAGGACCGGCATGCTCACTCAGACTTGCCTATAAAAGACGCATTTATTACTATAAGGAGGAGATCGACTTTTGACCCTTTTTCTCACCTACACACTCCCAAACACACCTCATTCATTCCTCGACCTCAAAATAGAACGCAGGTTCCGTTCTATCTCTTTTCATACTTGTTCATACTATATGCACATGACTACGAGCTACTTTAATTTTTGAGCGTAGACCTCCGTATTTAATTTGTACTATCAAGTGCATTCATATGTATGCACTATTAGTTATTTAGTTATCCGCAAAAATATTATCGAGCATTTTCATATATACAATCATAATTACAAAATTTACCATCTTAAATTGATAAATGAGATTAGTTTATTTGTTTTTACAAGACTACTCATTAGAGCTGACTTTATATATAGAGAGAAAGGGGGGAGGGGGTACATTGAATTGAATGTGAATATAGTATATTCATTTAAAAGCATAATAATTCCTTTCTACTTTCTAGTTCGTGAATACTAGAATGCCTTTGGTGTGAGTCACCAAACTTCTTGTATTTTTTTTTATTTTTATAAAATGATAAGTGTAACATCTGTCTATTATAATATCAATTAATCAATGAATATCTTTAATATAATTCTTGAATATGTCTAAATATAAAAACAGATTAAAATATGCCGTACACAAAATAATTTATTTACATATAAATCTCATCAAAATTGCTTCTATTATTGATGTTCGACGTAAAGGTACCAATAGAATAGAATCAAACTTCTATTGTTCCTACTGATGCATTGGTCAACGCTTGAACAGTTTGGACGTTAGTCATTTTTAATTTGTCTATTATTAATCACAATTATTGTGGCATATAAAATTTAGAAGTTAATAATTGTCTAAATTAATTTGCTACGTTGACATAAGATAGTAATTAAGTGATTGAACAAATTGACCCGTGGTATGTACGAATCAATAAGTTTGAATAAGCAATACGGGGTTAAATAATGGTAAAGGAAAAATATTGTAGTAATAATATTGAGTGGATTAATGTAAGAATACTACAAGAAGGTTGTGTAAGAACAAGACATGATTTGTAATAATTAAACAAGGCTAATTTATAGAGTAAATACCTAAAATGGTCCCTCGACTATAGCTAAATTCACAAATTGGTCCTCGACTTTTAATTTCAACCAATTAAGTCCTTAACTTTGTAATTTTGACACGATTTGGTCCTCCATCTATTTGACCATTTGTTGACCGTGATCGACGGTCTCCATAAGAACCTTTAGCTCTCGTTGGAGCACGTAGAGGCCTCCAGGATGACATTGCACCGGTTCGGAAACACGTTGTCTTCTTCGCTCTGGTACGAACTCAACTACATTGAATCCAAAGGGAGGATGAAAAAAGGCGACCGGATGGTAGATTGCTTTCGGCAGTGGATTCAAATGTAACAGTGCGGTCTGGAAATGCAACCGGAACCTTAAAAATCCGACGATGGACCATGAAATTACATATATATCCTCAAAAATCACAGTCAACAAACGGTCAAATAGACAGAGGACCAAATTGTGTTAAAATTGCAAAGTTAAGGACTTAATTGGTTGAAATTGAAAGTCGAGGACCAATTTGTGAATTTAGTTATAGTCGAGGGACCATTTTGGGCATTTACTCCAATTTATATCTAGAGATTCTAACTAATTTAGTTAACTTCGTGGTAGGCCATAAGACCGGGTCAAGGCTCGCACACATGAGCTACAGGGGTGGGCCAAATCCGACAGCCCAGGCCCCGGAAACGAGCTCCGAGGCGGAACGGCGATTGCCCAGGACCGACTGTATGTAGAACCACTTGGCTCGAGTAGCCTCATCCAGGTCCCTTGGTTCGGATCGCTCCGTCTGGGTTACCTTCTTCGTTTGTATCGCCTCTCTTGGTCTGGACCACATACCTTCTTGGTCTAAGTCACCTTTTTGAGTCCCGGGTCATTTTATTGAGTTCTGGTTACCTTCTTGAGTCTGGACTCGTAAATTCTAAACTTAAGTTGATATTCAAGTATCGTTCTGGTTACCTTCTTGAGTCTGGAATCGTAAATTCTAAACTTAAGTTGATATTCAAGTATCGTTCATGGATTCTAAACTATTTTAAATAAGTCTATATCTAAACTTTAAGTTGGGTGCAACAATAGTTGCCTTCCCCTACTTAGAGATTTTGAGATTCAAAAATCTAGACAAGCCCCCCTGCCTAATGGCTATATCAGACTTCCGGTGCTAAATAAGATATCCTAAAACTTTATGTTTAGTGTTTTAGTTTCTTAGAGCATCCGTACCAAAAGTTTGGAATATTAGGTTTATGTTAGATCAATAAATTGGCAAAATTACATAGACCATGGTCCACACAATTGTGTAGACAATGAATATCAGATACAATTTTTTGTACTGAAAGTACATTATTTTTGTATTAAATGTACATTATACAAAATAATGTATCCTTAGTATATTAAAAATGTACTTTAAAAAATGTATTTCATGTACAAAAAATAATGTACCCTTAGTATATTAAAAATGTACTTTTTATTTATGGTCTATACAATTGTGTGGACCATGGTCCATGCAATAATGATTGCAATAATGATTGCAATAAATTTGAGTGGGCTTATTTAAAGATGTGAGGTGGGGTTATTTCATGAGTGAAGCCTCCTCAGAAACAAAAATAATGTCTGACTTTAAAAATAAAAAATAAAAACAACGAAAGACAGGTGCGCACACCTTGCGCCCATAGTGGGCGCGTGTTCGACACGTTTTTTCTTTTTCTTTTTTATTCACATTTTTTTTGATTTCCTAATCACACTTATAAAAACTCCTCAAAAGCCGCAACGGGGATCATACTCAATATTGTACACTTGTACGTCCAATTCATTTTAGTAAGCAGGTTCAAATCATCGCCACAATTGAAAAACGTATAAATTGAAGTATAGTTAATGCTAAATAAATAACATTAGAACTCACTTCTTTTTTTTTTTTTTTTTTTTTGGTTGTAAGAGAATTTGATGAAACTTTTTTCAACTAATAAAATACTTTATAATCCTATTTGATCAACTTAATAAGTGGCTTATTATTTGCCACTTTCTTCATATTGTGCTTCAATAACATTACATTTAAGATTCAAGATAAATTGCACCAAACAAGTTAAATTCTTCTTCCAAAAGGTTGAACCCCAACTCTAAACAAGTTGAATTCTTGTTTCTTGCAAATGTATTTTTTTAAAGGAAATTTTCAAATTTTATTATTATCTATAATACATTAATTAATTAAATGAATTTTTTAAAAATATTATTAAATATTATTAATTAATGCTTTAAAAATCTAAATTAATCTCTCTATCTATTATATTATTATTATTATTAGTTGTAAATGACATGCATACCACACTATGAGTGAATTAGATAATATAATGTATAAAATATCATACAATAATCACATAAAGAATCCAGCTATGTAGTTATAGTGTATCATAAAAACCAACATTAATAAGTAATTTTGCAATTTAGGTGAAAATATGAGTTTTATTGCATGTACAAACATTGTTTTGTAAAAATTAGTTAATCACAACCCGATTATTTAGTTAGGGTTTTTTATTGTGTCAAAATATATAATAAAAAAAATATTTATCTCATACTAAAATTACTATATGATTTCATCTCTTGGAATTATTTATAAGCTTTAAAAAAGAAAAATACTCCGTAATTACATTTTTTATTTATGATTTGATTGATTTAACCAAACTTCTGTTGGTAATAATGAACCAAAATCGACTTAATATCGCAAAATAATATTTATATATACACACACAAGTATATAAAATATTATTCGATATATATCCGAAATATATATATACACACAAATATATATAAATTAGATCCCCACGGTTATATATACATATATATATCTACGGAAAAGATATACAAATATATATATATATATATATATATATATATATATATATATATATATATCAACCAAATTTGGAACGTATAATCCTCATATTATAATTCCAATCCACAACTAAATCAAATAGTGAGAGGATTTTTGCTTAGAAGCATAATCCAAACCGAAAGAGGAAGGAGATTGGCTTGTGTTTGGGTATAGGGTTTTTAGCGCGAGTCAAGAGACCACTCTTTCCTTAAAACCTTATTTGCCACCTCCCAAAAGTGCTAGGATCGTTGTGGCCTAGGTTTTCCAGGATAAAACGTGCTACGGTTCGACGTTTGAGCACCCAAATGAACGAACCTGGCGAACTAGAGCAAAGCCATGAACACAGGCAAAGAAAGGAGTAGGAGCAGAGTATTTTGGAGCTAAAATCGTGCAAGTATGTATGCTTTCTTCTTGTTCCCTCTCTTGTGTAAAAAATCTGTACTAAATAACATTAAACAAGGCCATTAAAACTTGGCTTTGTAACACTTGGAATTAATTCCGTAATTGTAGAATTGAATTCCGAGACTAGTTCACTGATACCGAAAGTTGGCATAACTAACTTAGCCCGCGAGGTCAGACGACATTCGTGCCCGCGCACTTGAGCTCGGGATTGAATCAAGCATTTTTGATCTCATTTCTAGTTGAAATTTGATTTGCACCCCCACCCTGCCAACCACATGTGCGCGAAAGAGCCTCTATGCTATACAATTCTACAAGTTTGAAAAGAGCTCTTGTATAAAAAGGGGGGCAAATCTTCTTTCCAAACCAATGTGGGACAAAAGCTCACTTTTTTCCTTCATTTTTCCAACTCAAATGGGTCTACTTTGAGAATCAATATCTCATTCACCTATTATCCGTTTTAAGCGTACAATATATCAATCTCTTCGTCTCACTACGAAGAACCCGAGTTCACATTGACCCGACCCAAATCAGAAGTGGACTCCACTGATAATTGTACCACAAAATAGTCACTTAAAATGCTATTTTAATGCTATTTTTCCAACTTCACAAGTTAATAAAGAGTTTAGGTAATAATTAAATACATAAAATAAGTTAATTAATATAACAATGGGGACGTTAAAGTTAGACAAATATTAAGGAATATATTTTGTAACAAATAAAAAATTAATTATTATGCTATTTGTGCTAAATAATAATAATAATAATAATAATAATAATAATAATAATAATAATAATAATAATAATTTCGTAAAATCCAAAATCAAACGGGTGGTTTCAGACACGTTGAGTCCATTTAGGATCATAGTCAACTTTGCTTTATGTGGCTCCCCATTAAAGTGATGAGACAAAAACGTGGGATTGAAAAGGTAACTAGTCTACACAAGTGCCTACCTTTGAGTTATCAAATTTTTATTTTTTTTAAATACTCATAATTCTTTATAATGTAGTATCAATTCTATATTTTCAATTTGAACTATCAATTATAAATAATCTAAACTGATTTTTTTAATTACTTTTTAACTAAGGTTACAAAGCAAACTTTACTTGAAATGCATTTTCAATAGTAAGTTTTTTTTTTTCTTTTTAACACGTCTAATGTCCTTGATTTAATAAAGAAAAAAAAAGGATTATACTTAAAAAAAAAAAGGTTATTGGAAAGTTATGTAGATCAATGAAGGATTTAATTTTTGTGTTAAAGTGTAATTACTTTTAGTTTTTGAATTATTGGTGATGTGATGTTTTAAATTTTTCTATGATGAGTTTGCTGAAATTTATTATGGAATATTATTTTTTTCTTGACAAGCCGAAGTTTATTATTATTGTTCAAAAACCCTAATTGATCATGACTAATAATAAAAAATTTCATCTCCTATTTCACAAATCGCATGTTTAAAAAATGCAAGCCATTTGATTTGTGTTTTTTTTTTTTCCATTGGTTTGATAGAAGTTATTGGCCTGGTCTACATTTTGCCAATCGGTATGCTGTGGAACCGTGTCCACCTTGCAAGGTGGACACGGTTCTAAATTCATAATTACTGAACTATATATTTATAATTATAAAATTATATATTCATAACTTTTGAACTTAATATTCATAAATTATTGAACCCTATATTCACAATTACAGAACTCTATGTTCATAATTACTAAACGAGTTAATTCCAGCAATGGTCCTCTGACTATTACGATTTTCTAAAATTGGTCATCGACTTTTAATTTGAACAAAAAAGATACTTGACTTTCTAAATCATTTCACCAAAGGTCCTTCCGTCCAATTAGCGTTTGTTGGCCGTCATTGTTGGAGGCAATTATGTCTTTTCAGTATATTGCTTTCTTCTTCCTAATTTTCCTCCTAGCCTAGCTTATTTGACGTTGCCTGGCTTATTTGACGCACAAAGCACGAAGAACTCCACAACTTCCTCAGTGTATGAAATTCCTTCAGTATTAAAATGTCTACAAGGTATAGTAGTCAAAGATTTGCATCTTCAAGGAATGAAGAATACATCTATGGTGAGGTCATAAGCATTTCAAACTGTCAATGTAGCCAACGATTGAAGCTACAAACATCTTGGACTAATGATAATCCAGGTAGAAGGTATTGGGAGTGTCGATTTGAAAATGTGAGTATTAATTTTTGGTTAGGGATTTTATCCACATCATTGGACGAATTAATTTTTTTTAATTCAATTTTGTGATTTTTGTGTAGGGATGGCAAATGTGTGGTTTTGTTAGATGGTATGATCCTCCCATGTGTGCTAGGTCAAGAAGAATTATTCCTGGACTATTGAGAAGGATTAATCGAAAGGAAGAAGAAATAGCAAGGCTTAAAATGAGGCTACAAGCTTGTGCTAAAGTTGATGGGCAAGGAAGCAATGGTAAACAATGTGCTAGGATAATGAGTGGAGACAGTGGAGTCATTGTGATATGGATTTTGTTGTTGGTAGTTATAAGACTCAATCCACCTACAAAAGATAAAGTTCTTATGTTGACTAATAGTAATGGTTATGTGTAAGGAAAGCAGAATGTTTCTGTAATTTGAAGAATTGATTTGTAATGAATTATCATTTCCAATATGTTATGCTTATCACCATTTACAATGTAGCAATTTCCATTTACACAATCTTATGTTGGCTTACATTTTCAGTAGCATACCATTTCCGATCTGCATACCATTTCCAGTAGCAATTTCCATACATTTCCAGTAGCATACCATTTCCAGTAGTAAATGACAACAATCTGCATACCATTTCCAATCTCATCCATCATTTTCACATAGCAAATGCCAACATACATTATTTATGCTAACCATTTGGAATCTACAAACACTCTGCAAACCAAATGACAATCTACAAACCAAATGGCAAATTGTAACACCTCGTGTTACGCCCTTTAAACTCAGATTAATTATTTAATTAATTTCGTTAAAGATTAGTTAAAAGAACTTAATTCAGTCAGGATCCCTTAATTAATTAATATGGTCCACGAAGGATCGTGAACCCTTACCCATATTGAAGCCCCAAGCTTGTTAGAATAAGGAAAGAAGGCTCATTACTAATTAGACTCTGATTAGGATTCCTAAATCTATATAAAAGGGATTAGAAAGTCTTTAGAACCTTTTCCATCCCACCTTATTCTCCCCACTCGAAAATCCCCTCCCAGAGTTCAAACAAAGAATTACCTGTCAACAAGCCTAGGAAAGATTGATAGGAAGGGGACCTTGAGAAAAGATCCTAGAAGACGTAAGAAGTTTAATTAAAGCTACCAGGTAACCCATGTCCTACAAAACCTATTTTCCTTGCTATCTTTTATTGATTGGCTCTGTTGGATGATTGAATGTGTGATTTGATATGTTTGCCTTGTTAGAGCTTGTCTTTAGGATTTTGGTATGGATTCTTAATATTCTTGATGAACTTGTGTGGTTGATTGCAGGTTTTTCGGTTTATGAGTATTTAGAGCTTGTGTTAGGGCTTATATGGTGAATCTTGTTATTTGTAACATTCTTGGCATTCTTGGGTGGGTTTATGCATGTTCGGGTGCTAGGTTTAGGACTTGTCTTTAGGGCTTTGTATATTGGTTTCTTGACGTTCTTGAGATTCTTGATGCTCTTGAACTTTGATGCGTTTATCCTTGGGTCTTGGCATGTTTAGAGTTTACGTTTAGACTTCAATTGTGTTGTTTCTTGGCTTGTCCTATGAGTTCGAGTCCCTACGGTTATTGATATGTGTTTGGGCGTGTTGGGACTTGATTTTGGGTGAAATTGGGGAAATTCCCGGGTTGGGAAGTTGGCCAAGAAATGTATTCCAGCGGGGAGGATGGGCGGGTGGACGGCCACCCGCTGGAACAGTGCACCGCCGCCTGCGGGCGGACGGCCACCCACCGTACCCCCCGCGAGTATGGGCCGGTGCGGGGTCGTTCAGTCTCCGCAAGTCGAACCCCGTGCCCCGTGATGTCTTCGTTGATGTTTTTAGGTCTAGTGTGATGTCTTATATGTTGTAACGTGATTTGTGAGTCGAGTCTTTGCATGTGGTCCATACTTGTATCGTGTGGTGTCAAAGTATGATCTTTAGTGGTCTTTGTGTGCCTTGTAGTCACCTCGAGGGCGCTTGTTGTTAAGAGTCAATGTGCATGATGAACCCTTCCCTGATTACCCCATTGTGGAGTCATTGTTGAGTCTTGCTTGTGTGATGATTGTCCATGATGAAAAGAAAAGATATGAGATTGGTGGTAAAAACTGTGATTGGTGGTTGATGCACTGCGCGTGCTTGTGTGTGATGGTACCGCGGTACCGGTGTGTGATTTAAAGGCATTGCGGATGCTATGAGATCAGCGGTTATGTAGGAGGTCTTGTAGGCGAGGGGCATTCTTTGCCCCGGAGGGATAAGGATGTGGTGTGTAGGGTGGACTGGAGGTACAGGTTGGAACTGTTATAAGGATGAAGCAGTGTTATAAGGTTGGAACATGGACATGTCTTGTTATGTGCTCTTGTTTGTTATTGTTGAGTCTTATTGTTGTCTTGTCTCGTGGTCGTAGTTGCATGCTGTGTCTTTATGTGCCTTGTCGTGTCGAGTCTATTGATATGCCTTGAGTCTTACTCCTGGTTTTGAAGATAGAGTCGTTTAGGACTATATTATGTATTCCCAAGTCTCAAAATGATTTCTTATATCTATATGTATTGTACTCAACGCGTGGGAGTGGGTTGCTTAGCATTATTCACTAACGGTTGTGATACCGCATGTTTTTCAGGTACTGATTAGTTGGCCGAGGGCGCGCTAGAAGGTGCTGTAGTTCCTAGCTTAGTTAGTTCTAGTTTAGTTAGACGGCCTGTTAGTCATTCTTGTAATTGGATAATGATTATGGTTTATGCCTTGTTTAGTTAGTTTTAGACTGTGCATCTAGGTTCTCAAGCTTATATGTGGCATAACACCCCAACACTTATGTTTAGCTTCTGCTCTGTTTTGGGTATTAATGATAGCTTTATCCTTATTTCATAAGCTTTAATGATTTTAAATTATGCCGAAAAATGGGGGTGTTACACAAACTGCACACCAAATGGCAAACGTTCCAGTAGCATAACAAATAGCAATTTACATTATATCTGCAAATTACATTCCAGTAGCATACCAAATAGCAATTTACATTATATCTGCAAACCATCTCCAGTAGGTACTAAAAGGCAACACCAAAACAAAGCTAAATTACAGTTTTGTACTACACATTATGTCTGCAATGAACTACACCATTTCCACTAGCAAAATACATTCTATTTGCATTACCAAAATGCATAGTATCCAAAAAAATAGTAACTATACATTAGTTAAACTAAATTGATTGGATCTTTGTCATTCCCAAAAAACTTAGACTTGAAATCCCCTGATCTTGTATGATACTTCTTGATTGGGAGTTTGTTCCTTCTTGGTTTTTTTGGTGGATTCTCTCTAACACTTGTAATGCCTACAAGACATGTTTGTCAACAATTGAGTTAATACTTAATAAATGCAAACATTGGAGTAAACTGAGTGAACAAACAATTACCTCCATCATTACCCTCAATATGATGCCAATGAGCATCCAAAACATCATCTGGAATCTCACATTGGTTATCTTCCACCTCAGGCTGAGTAATAACATCTGGCTGGACTGCATCTTAAAGGGGAACCTGGACTGGCACCTGAACTAGAACCTGGAATGGCTCTTGAACTGGAAACCATCATTGGTGGAACCTGGACTGGAACCTAGACTGCCTCTTTAAGGGGAACTTAGACTGCATCTTGAATGGGAACCTGGACTGGCACCTGAACTGGAACCTGGAATGGCTGTTATGGTGGAACCCTCACTGGAACCTAGAATTAAGAGGTAAGTGTTAATTAGTAACAACATGAAATGTTAATTACTAACAACCTGAAATGTTAATTATGAAATTATGTAACTTGTGTTGGATTTTGTGGACACTTTCTGCTGTTATGACTTGTTTGTTTGCATTTGGTGCAATGCAAACGAACATGCTTCCTGGTCAAGTAAACACCATCTTCTCTTCTCTCACCAGCTTTACTTGTCCTAGCAGAGTTACTTGTCTCACCAGCAGATTTCTTCCTCAATTTTCTAAAGTCTTCCAGGTTTAGCATTATATATTGGTGGCAATGGAGGTTCTCTATCTGTGACAGTCCACTCTTCATAACTAGACATAGGCTTTATAAAACCCTCATAAGTTTTCAAGTATGTTGAAATGTAGTAGCAAGGATCCACATAATGCCAAACTGGTCCTTTACCATGTTTTATCCGTATTGCACAAACAGCATGGGGACAAGGAATTCCAGTTAGATCCCATCTCCTACAAGTACAAGATCTGGCCCCTAAATCCACACTATACTGCCCAGAAACTGTCCCTATTATTTCAAATAGCTTGGGACCACACTGATAGCCTATCAATCCTCCAGCTTGCCTCTCAATCTCATCTATCTTTTTCACAATGCTTCGATAAATTACACCATTCCAGTCAATAGTCTTAGTCTTGGACTCAAATAACCTTGTAGTAATTTTTTTTTTCTAATTAACTCCAAGCAATTAATCACAGGATTTTCCCTAGCTGCCAAGATCATGGAGTTGAAAGATTCTGAGATGTTGTTCACAAGTATGTCATAGTGTGGTGCTCCAGTGAAGTGGGATCTAGACCACTCCGATGGTTGCTTATCAGCAACCCAAGCAAATGCACCTTCATCTAGATTTCTTAAATCTTGTAATGCTGCAGTAAAGGCGTTGAGTGTGGTGGCCCTAGCTGCTTTCCACAAGCCATCTTTGATTGGATTAGCTGTGAAACCTGCCACTCTCATGTTGCAATGTAAATGCCTAACACAAAATCTATGTGTAACTGCTGGCATCACAATTTCAAAGGTTAGTAGGAGTCCTTTTTGCTTATCTGACATGACTGTAAATTCATTTTCTGACATTGTATCAATCTGTAAGCCCGTCTTTAGCAATTCTAAAAACCAACTCCAAGAGTCCTTGTTTTCACCTTCAATAATTGCGTAAGCAATTGGGAATATACTCTCATTTCCATCAATCCCAACTGTTGTCAACAACTGTCCTCCTATTTTACACTTGAGGTGACAACCATCCAAGCCAATGATTTTCCTACAATGTTTAAACCATTCCCTAATAGCCTCCCAACATATGTACATCCTCTTAAATCTTTGTTTCCCATCCTCTAGCATGTCACTCAACTTAACAACACATTTAGTCATGGGATTTGTTCTTTGAATTTCCTTGC